CTTGAACATGGTACATTTCTCTGTTTGTTTAGATCTTCTTTGGTTTATTTCTTCAGCATTTTGTAGTTTCCAGCCAATAAGTCCTGTACATATTTTTTAAAATTGACACCTAAGGATCTGGTGCAGACTGGCTCACGCCTGTAATCCTAGCACTTTTGGAGATAGAGACGGCAGTATTGCTTGAGGCCAGGAGTTTGAGACCAGGATGGGCAACATGGCGAGACCCCATCTCTGGGAAAAAAAAAAAAAAAAAAGACACCTCTGCACTAGGCTGTGTACTAGGCATCTATGCACATTCTGCTGCCTGGAGGGTAGAAGAGCCCCGTGGTTGCTCCCTACACACTGCCTCCACTGCATTGCCTGTGTGTCTGGCAGCAGGTGGGGTGGGCCCTGGTGGCGTTTTGAAGATGAGCAGTGGTGCAAGTCCTGACTTGCCTCCACTAGGCCTGCTCTGACACCACCCAGCTGGGAGCAGGGGTGGCAGTTCAGACGCCTTCACTCAGTCTTTGCTAGCCTGGCTGGTGTTTGACTAGAGTAGAGCAGTTATTGTCTGAAAGCTTTCCATCTTGCTAGGCCACCCCTTTCCGGTCCTTTGGCTAGAGAGAACTGGTTTCTGTTAGTGCTTGTATTGTCTGTACCATATTGGCATTGCGTGCTTGCTGACTTCTTCAGCTCCAAGTCTGCGCCAGGGTATGCAGCGCTGTGTTGCTTCTTGGGTCGCTTGTTGGTCTTCCTTCTTCTCTCTGCCTTCCAGAGTCTTCTTATGTCTGTTTTTTATATAATGTCCAGATATATATAATTTTTTTTTTTTTTGAGACAGAGTCTCGCTCTGTCACCCAGGCTGGAGTGCAGTGGCGCGATCTCGTCTCACTGCAAGCTCCGCCTCCCGGGTTTACGCCATTCTCCTGCCTCAGCCTCCCGAGTAGCTGGGACTACAGGCGCCCGCCACCGCGCCCGGCTCGTTTTTTTTTTTTTGTCTTTTTTTAGTAGAGACGGGGTTTCACCATGTTAGCCAGGGTGGTCTCGATCGCCTGACCTCGTGATCCACCCGTCTCGGCCTCCCAAAGTGCTGGGATTACAGGCTTGAGCCACCGCGCCCGGCCTATATAATTTTTTTATAAAATGTCCAGATAATATTTTTATATGATGTCCAGAGTTTTTAGTTGTACTTATTGGGAAGAATTGGGACAAGTACATCTACTCCACCTTCCTGAAAGTAAAAGCTCTAAGTATTTTTCTAAATGGTGATTTTTTCCCCCCTAAGAACATTAAAGTGGGTGAAAAAATATTGAAAATTGAAAAGTAGGTATGTTAAAATTCACAGCACAATTTTAGGTTTAAATATTTCATATACCAAAAACATGATTTGTTATAATTTTATTTTCCTGGCTTTAATGGAAGCAAACTCATCAAAACATATTTTTCCAAATCTACTTCTGGAGAAAGATTAACCATTAAAAAGACACCAGCAGGGCACAGTGGCTCACACCTGTAATCTCAGCAATTTGGGAGGTTGAGGCAGGAAGATCATTTGAGCTCAGGAGTTTGAGACCAGCCTGGGCAACAGAGTGAGACTTTGTCTTCAGTAAAAATAAACAAAAATTAGCCAGGCGTGGTGGCGTTCATCTGTAGTCCCAGCTACTCAGAGGCTGAGGCAGGAAGATTGCTTGAGCCCATGAGGCCGAGGCTGCAGTGAGCTATGATCATGCCACTTCAGTCCAGCCTGGACGAAAGAGCAAGACCCTGTCTCAAAAAAAGAAATTTAAAAAATACAATAAAAAAAAATAAAAATGAAAAATACACCAAAAAACCCCATGTATTTGGGGCACACATGATTACTTATGCATGAGTCTTCAATACGGTGGGGCACAGCTGGATCCTGCCTTTATTTAAAGCTTTGTTCATTGTGGATTTTTTTTGCATTAATTTTGATTTTTAAAAAAATATTGCACTGAAATATTATTTATTTTAGCTGGGCGCAGTGGCTCATGCCTATAATCCCAGCACTTTGGGAGGCCGAGGCGGGCAGATCGCCTGAGGTCAGGAGTTCGAGATCAGCCTGGCCAACATGGTGAAACCCTCTCTCTATTAAAAATACAAAAATTAGCCAGGTGTGGTGGTGGGCACCTGTAATTCCAGCTGCTCGGGAGACTGAGGCAGGAGAATCACTTGAACCCAGGAGGTGGTGGAAGTTTCAGTGAGCCGAGATCACACCACTGCACTCCAGCCTGGGCGACAGAGTGAGACTGTTTTAAAAAAAAAAAAAAAAAAAAAAAAAAAAAGCATTGAAATATTACTTATTTTGATGATTGAGGTTTTTGGCCTCCCCTTAAGTTTTGCGTGCCAGGTAAGGGCCTCATAGGCCTGGTTGCAGTCCCAGGCTGAGATAGGCACTCCACAATGTTTTGTTTGGGTAAAGTGGTGGGTTGGCTCTAGAGCTCCCTCACAGCTGTATCCTTACCTCAAAGGGGCAGATTAACTTAGATTTAGAGAAAGAACAGCTGAGGAGGTAGATCTGAGTCCCGTGGAGGTGAAGGTGCTTCCGAGATGGGGCCTTTCTATAAATAGGTTGTAGGAACTTGCAGAAGCGATTGGGCCCCCATTGGGCACAGGCCGTCCTGCACATACTGAACATTCCACTGGGTTGGGGCCTCTGCTCTCCCACTCCCAATGCACCTGTGAAAGTGAAGGTCCCAGAACCCGCATGCCACCGGGACAGGAAAAGGAGCGGATTCCAGGGCTCATGGGAACTGGTCTAATATTAGCGGTGTTTTCTCATCTGGCCCTTGGGACATCTCTATGGGGTAGGTGGTGTTATCCCTCATTTTGCAGACGAAGCAGCTTGGGCTGCCCCTGGGGAAGAGAGGATGCCTAGCTATCATCCCAGATCTCTGCGTGTCATCCCGCCCTACCCCATCCTGCCTCACCCTTCATTCTGTGTCCTCTCCTGTGCCAGCTCTGGGCACATACCCAGGAATGCCTGGAACACCTTTCTGCTGCCTGGGCTGTGGGCTCAGACACCGCGAGAGCAGCTTGATGTCACTCTATTGCCCCTCCCTGGTCGAACACAATGTCCTTCCTCCACCTTCCCACCAGCCTGCCTCTTGCCCCTGGCTATATTTAGGACTTTCTACAGTCTTTGCCACCAACCCTTTCTTAGGGTTTGAAGAGAGGCCACATCAGATATCTTTGGAAACCCATGGCAGGAGCGAGCTTTTCTCTAGGCACCTCTTATTTCCATCCTCTATCCTGGGTCTCTCCCACCTCCTCAGGCTTTGGGTAAAAAGGCCAGACTATTAGAACATCATGGGGGTGGTGAGGCCTGGAGGAGGGTGGCTTACCACCCATTCCAAGAAAAAAAAATCCATGCTTGATGAAGCCTCTGGGATTCTAGTGATAAACAGTTATTAGTCAACCTTTCATCAGTGGTTCCTGGCCTCTTTATCCCAAACAACCTCTTATTTTTATCCTCCTAAGGTTTTAGCTTCCCTCCAGATAAAACTTCCTTAAGGACTACTTTCGTAGTTTTTAGGTAGTGAAAGATTCATCTAATATTTCTGATCAGCATGAAATAACCAGTTGCTATACCAAAAGCAAGAAAATTTGATGCTTCATTTACTCTGTAAAATTCCACACATGATTTTAAATTATAATAGGCCGAACGCCATGGCTCATGCCTGTAATCCCAGGACTTTGGGAGGCTGAGGTGGGTGGATCACTTGAGCTCAGGAGTTTGTGACTAGCCTGAGCAACACAGCAAGACCTCATCTCTACAAAAAATGCAAAAATTAGCCAGGCATGGTGGCATGTACCTGTAGTCCAAGGTGATCTGGAGACTGAGGCGGGAAAATCGATCGAGCCCAGGAGGTCTGGGCTACAGTTAGCCATGATCATACCACTGCACTCTGGCCTGAGTGGCAGAGTGAGACCCTGTCTCAAAAAAATAAAAATAAAATAAAAATAAATAAATTATTCTGGGTGCGGTGGCTCGTACCTGTAATCCCAGCACTTTGGGAGGCTGAGGCGGGCAGATCACTTGAGGTCAGGAATTTGAGACCAGCCTGGCCAACATGACGAAGCCCTGTCTCTACTAAAAATACAAAAATAAAATAAAATGAAATAAAATAAAATAAAATAAGCCTGGTGTGGTGGCAGGTGCCTGTAATCTCAGCTACTCAGGAGGCTGAGGCAGGAGAATTACTTGAACTCAGGAGGCAGAGGTTGCAATGAGCCAAGATCACGCCATTGCACTCCAGCCTGGGTGACGGAGCAAGACTCTGTCTCAAAAAAATAAATAAACAAAAATAAATAAATAAATAAATTATAACAATAGCTTTAGGTTCCCCATTATCATGGAAAAGCCTTTAGAGATCATGTTGTCCAGTTCCTTCATTTTTTACACAGGAGAACTTACTCAGAGATAATAAGTAAATGACATAAGGTTTACACAACAAAACTTCCTTGGGCAACCATGCTTTGCTTTTCCTGGGAGAACATTTAGTGTTAGGGTCAGGAAGAGCTATGGGGAGGTGAGGGCAGCCAGATGCAAGGGGAGTAGAGGTCTGGGCTGTGGCTGAGGCTCTCACAGATCCTTCCCCCTCCTGACTCTCCAGGCCTGGTGTGCCCTGCCTCAGCTTTTGGGGAACTGGGGTGCAGACGGCTGATGCTCTAGTACCTAGACCCGCAGCCTTGCTGTCTTCTCCCACCCCAGCTCAAGGACCCAATGACACCCTCTCCTCTGCTGGAGTGGATTTTTCTCCTAAAACCAAAGGAGGCACTCTTTTTCCCCAGTCTGAAGTTTTTGTATTTTTCTATTACAGACCTGCTCTCTGGTCTCTGAATCTGGATTCCCAATCTACCCTGGGTGCCATAGAGTTGGCAGTTACTTTCCTGGGGGAAGAGGGTAGGACTTCAACGTTCTGAAAGTGACAGATTTCCGAGTTCCAGATATGGGCGTTTAGCAAATTTCTCAGTTTCTTTTAACAGGCCCTACTTTGCAGGTAACGCGGCGCTTCGGGATCCCAGGGCTGAAGAAAATGATGGACTGGTTTGGCTACTACGGAGGCCCCTGCCGCGCCCCCTTGCAGGAGCTGAGCCCCGCTGAGGAGGAGGCACTGCGCATGGATTTCACCAGCAACGGCTGGCTCTGAGGGCCGGCAGCGTCCATGGCTGGCCTGAGCCCATCTCAGCCTCCTGCCTTGCACTTGCAGCCTGAAGCAGAGAGCGCAGGGGGATGAGGGCGGCGGGCGCGGGAAGCCGGTAGAGGCTCCTTTGCCTACTTTAGTCCTCCAGGCAGCCTTTCACAGGCATGCCCACGCACATCTCCTATTCTCATGGCCCCTGACCTCTCCCTTTTGTATCCTAAACTGTCTCTCTGGCCTGAAGACTGGTAAGGAGCAATTTCTCAATTCGTCTCTGTACTGTGGATGCTTTCCTATGCCCTGAGGCACATGAAATCGGAAAGGAAGGGCAGAGGTGCAAGTAGGCACAGTCAGGAGTCAGGAGATTGTTTTTTCTTTCTTGCTTTTCTTTCTTTCTTTTTTTTTTTTTTTTTTGAGACAGAGTTTCGCTCTGTTGCCCAGGCTGGAGTGCAATGGTACCATCTTGGCTCACTGCAACCTCTGCCTCCTGGGTTCAAGCAATTCTCCTGCCTCAGCCTCCCGAGTAGTTGGGATTACAGGCGCCTGCCACCACGTCCAGCTAATTTTTGTATTTTTAGTAGAGACGGGGTTTCACCATGTTGGCCAGGCTGGTCTCGAACGCCTGACCTAGGTGATTCAACTGCCTCGGCCTCCCAAAGTGCTGGGATTACAGCCATGAGCCACTGCACCCAGCCGGGAATTTGTTTTATTGAAGTGGGGACTACTTAGACTTGGGGCTTGAAACCTGAGTCTAGCGCAATGCAGCTGGAAGCCAGGGCTACTGCTACAAACCCAAGTTCTGACTCCTTCCAGGGAAGTATCAGCTTAGGAAACTTGATCAGGAAAGTGTCACTGGTCTTTCAAAGAGCCCTCTTTACCCTCCCACCCCCGCCCTCCACACTGCAAGCTGCATTCCAGCCACATGCCCTTTTCTAAATCTATTTTCATTCATCTCCTATTCTGGTCTCTAGCCTTGATTCCAACCACTGAAAGCACAGAGACAGCTCAGTGGCTTGTCAGATTGGTAAATAGTGACACCTGGTGGATAAATGTTACATTCTAGAAGACTATTCTGGCCAGCCTAGGTCTGAAACACTAAGGGGACTTCGCCTGAGATAGGGCCATCCTCTGGCCTACAGGCACTCTGCTTTTATTATTAAAAAATAATCACTTTGAGCCGGGCGCGGTGGCTCAAGCCTGTAATCCCAGCACTTTGGGAGGCCGAGACGGGCGGATCACGAGGTCAGGAGATCGAGACCATCCTGGCTAACACGGTGAAACCCCGTCTCTACTAAAAAGTACAAAAAACTAGCCGGGCGAGGTGGCGGGCGCCTGTAGTCCCAGCTACTCCGGAGGCTGAGGCAGGAGAATGGCGTAAACCCGGGAGGAGGAGCTTGCGGTGAGCAGAGATCCGGCCACTGCACTCCAGCCTGGGTGACAGAGCCAGACTCCGTCTAAAAAAAATAATAATAATAAAAAAAAATAATCACTTTGTTACTATAATAAAATTTAACAGGTAAAATTCGTGTGGCTATGTACAGACGGACACTCTATTGCTATGCAGATCTTAGGTTTCCTGGCCAGATGTCAAGAACTTTCCTAAAGGCAAGTGAACTCTGATAGTCTGACTTCTCCCAGCTCTAAGAGCGGCCCCAACAATACTGAGCCAGCAGGCATTCACTTACTGGAGGCCTAGGGAAGGGGTAAGAGGCAAAAGAGAGCAATTGAGCTATTTAGAAACACTTAGCACTTTTATTTTATTTTTTTTGAGACGGAGTCTTGCTCTGTCATTCAGGCTGTGTGCAGTGGCACGATCTCGGCTCACTACAACCTCCGCCTCCCAGGTTCAAGCAACTCTCCTGCCTCATCCTCCCAAATAGCTGGGATTACAGGCGCACACCACCACGCCCGGCTAATTTTTGTATTTTTAGTAGAGACGGGGTTTCGCCATGTTGATCAGGCTGGTCTCGAACTCCTGACCTCAGGTGATCCTCCTGCCTCAGCCTCCCAAAGTGCTGGGATTACAGGCGTGAGCCACCGTACCCAGCCAGCATCCTTTTTGATTAAAGTGCTAAGCGTTTAGGGCCAGGCAGCACTTTGAGAGGCCGGGCAGCACTTTGGGAGGTGAAGAGTTTGAGACCAGCCTGACCAACATGGCAAAACCCTGTCTCTACTAAAAATACAAACATTAGCCAGGCGTGATGGCACACTCCTGTAATTCCAGCTACTTGGGAGGCTGAGGCACAAGAATTGCTTGAACCCGGGAGGCGGAGGATGCAGTGAGCTGAGATCATGCCACAGCACTCCAGCCTGGGGCACAAGAGCAAAACTCCATCTCCAAAAAAAAAAAAAAAAAAGATGCTTTCTCCAAAATATTTAACCTTTTTTCAGTGGTAATATTTGACTAGTGGCAGAAAAATGGAGATACATTAAAAAAAATTACTCATTAAAAAGAAAGTGTAAGGTTAAAAAGAGGTAAATAGACACTTGTTTAGGGCAGAGGCTAAAGGAGAGAAAATAAAAGATCTCAATCTTCAACCCAAAACCAGGCTCTGAATGGCACTAAAGCTTGGGGCTTAGTGCCTGGGGTCCCCTCACAGGCAACTTCCAGAGGAGCTGGGCTCAGAAGAGAATCAAGTTTAGGACTTGGGGGAATAGTTAAGGCTAGGCAGGCAGGGTAGTGTACTGAGTAAGAGCTCAGCCTCTGGGCTTAAACAGTTTGGGTTTAAGTTCTGGGATCTGCTCCTTAGTGTCTATGGGACCGTGGAGAAACTGCTTAACTTCCCTGAGCCTCATCTGTAATACAGGGATAATAATAGTACCTTCCTCCAACAAGGATGCATGTAAAAGGGTCAGTGTGGGGGTCATTGTTCCACCACTCTCACATTGCAGAGAAAGGGAAACTCTGGCAGCAGTGGACCTACCAGAGGTAACCCAGCAGGTGTGGCCATAACTAGTCTCAGGACTTACACACTCTGATGCTCAGGGTGAGAGGGGTCCAGTAAAGGGAGATGGAGTCAGAAAGACTTGGTTACAAATCCCACCCAGCTGTGCCACCTACTAGTTGTGGCAGCCTGAGATTGTCTGATTCAAGTAAGAAAAAAAAATTCCTATGTCCTCCTCTGTAGAGGCTGAGAAAATTAAATGACTTGATATAGTAAAGTGTGCAGGGTCAGTTCCAAGGGCTAATCTGATTAACTTTTACAAACAGCAAATGGGTTGATATTCATGAAGACACAGGGCCAGAAAGTCAGGAAAACTAGGTATAGGCAGTTCTGGTGATTTCTTTATTCTTTATAAACACCTTTTTCTACAGTACAATTCAGAGAATAAATAGAGGCACACGGCTATAACTTCCACCACCATCTGCTGTTGAGGAGACATTTAGTGTGAGGCTAGGGGGCTAGAGGTGGGGGACGTATTTGGGTACCAGGGTAACGGGAGGCCTCCGTGATAAACTGCAGAGATCCCATCAGTAAGGTGTGACTGCGGCCTGACGGTCAAGGCTCATGATAGAAGAGCTACAGTGAGCCAAATGCTCCTTTAGTTCCCTACAGTCCTAGAGTAGGTCCAGTTCTACCAAAACCCCAGGGGTTTGGGTGAGTCTGATTTATCGGTCCACTGGGAAGAAACTGTGTCAGCCCAAGCCATCCCTACGAATTCAGTTCACTCCATGGTAGGGCCTGAAATGGCCTAAATATTCTACCCTTTTCCCTGGAGTTAGTCACATATACAATTAATAAGATTACTGTTTACGTGAGTTTTTTTCTTGACTGTCCCAAAAAGGGATCCTGTTCCCCATCTAAGGAAGGAGAGAGGCACACACATGGGGATTATCTGCTGTAACTTGGTGAAGGAAGACAGTCTGTCTTCTAAAGGGAGGAGGAAATAGCACTCTTACCGAATCCTTCTCAGGGGCATAGGCAGGAATGAATACCAGTCTGATCAGACCAAGTGAAAGCCTGGAGCTATGATTCTAACTAGCATGAGGAGTAACATACGGAAAAGCTCTGCCAGCCAGGCACAGTGGCTCACACCTGCAATCCTATCACTCTGGCGGGCACAGGCAGGAGCATCGCTTGAGCCCAGGAGTTTGAGACGAGCCTGAGCAACATAGCAAGACCTGGCTCATTTTTTTAATAATAATAAAATAAAAGGCTGGGCGTGGTGGCTCACGCCTGTAATCCCAGCACTTTGGGAGACTGAGGTGGGTGGATCACGAGGTCAGGAGTTCGAGACCAGCCTGGCCAACATGGTGAAACCCCATCTCTACTTAAGAAAACACAAAAATTAGCCAGGTGTGGTGGCACACTCCTGTAGTCCCAGCTACTCAGGAAGCTGAGGCAGGGGAATCGCTTGAACCTGGGAGGTGGAGGTTGCAGTGAGACGAGATTGCGCCACTGCACTCTAGCCTGGACGACAGAGTGAGACTCCATCTCAAAATAATAATAATAATAATAATAATAATAATAAAATTAAAAAAGAAAAGCTCTGGCCTTCACTTTCACAGGGCTGCTCCACCGAGCCACCCCTATCTTTTTCCTGTTTCTCCAGGGTGGCACAGAGCACTGGCCCTAAGGTGGGGTAGAATCACCTGCCCCAAAAGCAGCAGAATGAAGGTTCTGTATCACTTGGCAGAAAATGAAGCAGAAGGGTCACAGCAGGCTGCACTGGGTAACCCGAGGTCTTAGGAACAGAGTATCAACAGTGAGAAGAGGCAGTTCCTCTGTCCTCCAGCACACAAGGGTCAGGGAAAGACAGAACCACCAATGACTGAGCAGCATCCGCTGGCCAGCATCCTCAGCACTTTTCTGCGGTCCAGTTCTGGAATGACAGGTGACAGGGCACATACAAGACCTCTGCTCTACTGTCATTGCCAACTCATCTCAGCTCTGGTTCATTTGTTCACCTCGAGTCAACAAGGGGCCCACTGGCTTTACCCAATACTTGTCAGCTGGTGCCTACCACGCTGTCAGGCAGTGAGATTTCTGGCTGACTTGGAGGCGCTCTGGGCCCGCTGAACGACGGCAGAACACTTCTCACGCCGCAGCAGCTTGTTGTTCTCAAAGAGACCTTCATTGCGGGGAATTCCATGAGAACCATCGGGGAAAGTCAGCAGGCCTTTGAGGAGGGCAGAGAAAACATGGGAGTAACAATGGCGTTAATGTCTCAAAGGTGAGCTTGATATGTTGAGGCTGAAGAAGAGAAAAACTCGCAGCTCTACTCAGGAGCACTCTATTGGTGAGTTCAATGGATAGGCGTCAGGGAT